TAATACTAAATAGAACTCTCCCTCCATTCTCTCAATAAGTATCTCACTGATGAAAAAGGAATAGAAGCCAGGAGAATCTCAATGTGATTAATGGTTTATTTTGGGATGTCTCAGCAATAGAGAAGTTGTGATATTTATAACAACTCTAACAAATTGATAAGATAGAAAATAACAAACAGATTTGATAAGATCAAAACAACAAAGTGATAAGTTCTAACTAACTAAGCTATCCTAGGGTCTCAGAACTCCTAATAACCCGAGAGTCCTTTTCTTTAATAAAAATAAAACAGTAACAAACTGAATTAACCCACACACTATGATATAATTAAGGTGGCCTTCTGCTATAAATGATCCGGATGTTATCACAGGGCCACTATGAATTTGTGGTTATGCCCTTTGGATTGATTAATGCACCCGCTTCATTTCAAAGCTTAATGAGCCACATACACAGGGCCACTATTTAGTCTTTGATGATGTCCTCATTTAAAGTAAGAATGTCATGGACCATCTTCAGCATATCCAAAGAGTAAAAACCACCTATTCTTAGAAAGAAGTAAATGTGCAGTTGCTATCCCAGAAGTGGAATATCTTGGACATTTTATCTCAGCAAGGAGTTTGATAGAGTTCCAGATATGCTTTTATTTTATATGTTACTCCCTCCATCCCGCAAAAAAGTTCCCCTTTCTTTTTTCATCCGTCCCAAAAAACACCACCCTTTTCCTTTTAAAAAGTCACTTTTACCCTCACTAATTTTTAACCTATCTATCACATCACACTTTTTCTTTATTAATCTATCCATCCCATCCTACTTTATCCATCACATCAAAGGGCATTTTTGGAAAGTCCACACCAAAATACACCCCCCTTAAATCCTCAAAAATTCAAACCGGGAACTTTTTTAAGGGACAGAGGGAGTATTAATTTTTACACAGTTTCGTTGACACTCAGCAAAGGTGACACTAGCGGTGACATTTTTGGAGCACCTCCGGTGCTTCAATTGGAAAATTTATGGTTCATAACCCCCCTAAACCCACCCCATAAACCCCCACCCTAGCCCCACCCCTTCCCCCCTCCACCCCACCCCAACCCCGCCCTAAGCCCCCCTTCAAATGTGTGGCTATTATGCATTGCATAATCGCCATTAGCCACAAATTGGAGGGGGCTTAGGGGGGCTGGGGTGGGGGGTTTAGTGGGTGGGTTAGGGGGTGGGAACCATCAATTTTCCGATTGGAGCACGAAGGTTCTCCAAAAACGCAGTGGCACTGCTAGTATTACCGTGGCTAGTGTCAACAGAACCCCACACTATTAATATTTATATTAGAGTGAGTTTGGGTCATTTGTTTATGAGGTCTGATAAAATTGGAATAAGGTAATGATAACTGGACTGGGCAATAAGACACTTGGGTTGAACCACATTAAAAGATTGAATCCAATCGATTAATTAGTTCTACTCAAGACCTTATATACCAATAACTTTTCTATTCAACTTCCGATGTGGGATAGACACTTCCCCTCAAGTGGACAACTGGACCATTTTGAATCTAACCGGCTGACCACATGCAAATGAACTCCCATTCCGTTGATTTTTGTATTGAGCGCCAACACCTAAAGGACCACGAGCCGCTGGGTATGGACTTCCAGACAAGCAATCGTGTTAAACGGGCCACAGGCCGTTGGGTACATACTCCATACGGACAACTGGGCTAAAGACAAACGGGCTGCTAGGAATGAACGTCTAGACGGACACCTTGACAAATGAGGTGGGCTAAAACCTGCTCCGATACCATGATAAAATTGGAATGGGGTAATGATAATTGGACTGGGCAATAAGACACTTGGGTTGAACCACATTAAAAGATTGAATCCAATCGATTAATTAGTTTTACTCAAGACCTTATATACTGATAACTTTTCTATTCAACTTCCGATGTGGGATAGACTCTAACAAGGTCAAATATTTTATTTTATATATGTTAGTTACTAAGTAGTAAATAATGTGTAAGTGGGCCTAAATTGTAGGAGTAGTTGCCAAGTAATGTGGTAGTGAGCCTAAAGTCTAGGAATAGTTACTAGGTAATGTGGTAGTGGGGCTTAATTCTAGGGATTGGTAGTTAATTGGATTCTATAAATATTGAGGCTCATTATTTGTAAAAGTTGTCGAGAAAGTAATTCAATATTTATTATTGGAGATTCTTCTTGGCTATATAACATAAATGAGTTTAAGATTCTTGCTCATATTTTGATAAAGACTTTTCTTTTATTATTTTATTAAGTTAGATGCTGATTTCATAATTTAATAAAAACTATCCTTCATTTATTTTCCCTGCCACTCTTGAGTTCTATCATTTGGTATCGGAGCCAAAGATCGGGGTTCCTTCTGCGGAAAGTCAGTTTCTCCATTTTCTCAATATAATTCCTCATCCAAGAGTTTTACTCTTTATGAAGTACACCAATTGGTTTACATTGTAGCTCACCTTGATGTCATTAATTCCAAACGGGCAGCATCAGAAGTTCATGGTACGACTGTTAATTTTGTGACACCCTACAAAAGAATCACATCCAGTAAATTTCATCTAGAGGTTGGAAAGAAGAAAATTCAGAAACAAAGATGCAAGGTTGTTAAATCTAGAGGGCAGTTTAGAAAGGCTACCTTAGCCTTAGGATTTGAGGGGAACTGCATGTTATAATGTTCTATTGTGCTGAAAATTTAAATATGGTCCAGTGTTATTCTGGTTCATCTCCCATGGAGGGTGATGCAGAAAAAAGAATACCAGAAGCGTTGGAACGCAATGATGAGACAAAGGTAAATTTAGAGCCTTCATTCAGGATATCTTCTCTCTTGCAGAAAAAGAGTGTCAACTGTCAACATACAGCTCAATACATTCTTCTCCTCACTTAAGAATCTCATGAGCGCTAACAACCGATCCACAATACTCTATGGCAGAAAGGACATAATTACATCTGCCACAATGAGTTCAACGTTCCCTTATATATGTCAACACCAACCTGGAAAATTCTACAGCTTTACTGATAAAGATTCATGAACCCTTGGATGGTGGCGTCATGCAATGATTTGTCCATGAAGCTTTTATGTCATACCTTGACCCTTTTGTTCAAGGCACCACTGCTTTAATTGGAGTTTTTCATTATTTTTTCTTCCTACCATCTCTACCGAAACCTCCAGATATACAGAGAAGCTATTGTCTAGATTTTGCCTTGAGGACATGGCAAATTTTGAGGGAGGGGATAATGATAGAGTGCCAGATATGCTTTTATTTTATGTTCTTAATATTTATAGTAGTCAGTTTGAGTTATTTGTTTATGAGGTCAAATATTTTATTTTATATATGTTAGTTACTAAGTAGTAAATAATGTGTAAGTGGGCCTAAATTCTAGGAGTTGTTGCTAAGTAATGTGGTAGTGAGCCTAAAGTCTAGGAATAGTTACTAAGTAATGTGGTAGTGGGGCTTAATTCTAGGGATTGGTAGTTAATTGACTTCTATAAATATTGAGTCTCATTATCTGTAAAAGCTATCCAGAAAGTAATTCAATATTTATTATTGGAGATTCTTCTTGGCTTTATTACTTATATGAGTTTAAGATTCTTGCTCATATTTTAATAAAGACTTTTCTTTTATTATTTTATGGAGTTAGATGCTGATTTCATGATTTAATAAAAAACTATCCTTCATTTATTTTCCTGTCACTCTTGAGTTCTATCAGAGTTGCTACTTATCCTAGCAAGGTAGAGGCAGTAAGAAGTTGGCCAGTTCCTAACTTCCTACTACCTTAAAGCAATTAAGGGGATTTTCAGGTTTATCTGGTTACTACAGAAGGTTTATCCAAGGTTATGGTAAGATTGCCAAGCCCCTAGCTGACCTCTTTAAAAAGGGCCAGTTCTCTTGGAACAAGGAAGCACAATTAGCTCTGGGTACTCTGAAGAATCTACTATGTGAAGCACCCTTACTTGCTTTACCTGATTTTCGCAAAACTTTTGTCATAGAGACATATGTCTCAGCTTATTGCATATGTGCTGTGTTAATGCAAGATGGTCATCCTATAGCTTACATAAGGAAAGATTTGAGTCTACAAAATCAAGCCAAATCAGCTTATTATAGGGAATCAATTGCAGTAATATTTGCAGTGCAGAAGTGGGGGCCCTTCATTATTAAGACTGATCAAAAGAGCCTCAAATATTTACTTGAGCAAAAAATTTCTACACCTTGTCAACAAGCACTGACGCCAAGCTAATGGGATATAACTTTGAGATTATCTATAATTAGGGGCAAGATAACAATGTTGCTGATGCATTATCAAGGTTGCCACCTCCTTCCCTGCTACTGCTAGCTCTTAATGAAGAAGGTTATGACCTATATCACAGAATATCAGCTGCTTGGCAAATGGATCCTAGTCTACAGAATATGATTAAGGAGTTAGAAGTAGATCCAACTTCACATGAACAGTTTACCTGGGTTAATGGCCAACTAAGGAGAAAGAGAAAGCTAGCTATTGGAGCAATAAAGGAACTGAGACATGAACTAATGTTATGGTTTCTTAACTCCTCTATTGTAGGCCACTCAGGCAGGGACGCTACCTTACATACAATACAAACATTGTTTTATTGGGAGGGATTGAAGAAAGACATTCAAGAGCACATTCAAAATTGTGAACATTCAAATGGAAAATGTTGATGACAGTATTTTCTGTTAATTAACAAGAATTATGGCACCTCAATATCATGTGTATTCGTTACTAAATGATAATTATAATACCTAGAGTGAATACTTGTCTGCTTTTAGCTGTTGTGAGAAATGATTATTGTTATTATATTTTAATATTTTAAATATTAGTATTTGCTGGCCCATGAACCTCAAAGTTCTTCAAGTTTCCTTCTCAATATCTTAAATGTCTTATAATGTATAGAAAATGTTCTTTGTGATTGTTTTTTGTAAACCAATCTTTGTTAAGCGAATGAACTAAGTAACAGTAGCAACTGTTTACAAAATCATTTTACAGTATATTCTAAATTCTGATGCTAAAAGAAGGAGAATATGTACTGTGAATGGAGACTCTGAGAGCCTAGAGTGCAAGGATTCTGGGTGTAAAAATGAAATGCCGGATACTAGTCTTGAAAAAATCAGTGAGTTCTTTCAGCGTATTTGAGCTTTTAGTTCTAAAACCTCATTTAGTATACATTCAGGACACTATGACTAATTACTAATGACTATCAACATTAAACTGCAATTTGACCGTTCTATGCAGAGTCTGATACCTGTTCAGAAAAGAATCATGACCTTTCATTAGTCAAGTTGACAAGGAATGGGTTGCTCCTTTTTATGTTTCCATGTGGAAAGTCTCCTCCAGTTGTCAATATTTTGTTTGACATTGTCCAGTCACTGGATTCTCAACGTTCAACCCTGCCACGGTACCTCCCTCCCCTCACTGTGCATCCTCTTATTTTACGGTGATGGGAAAGATACATGTTGTTTTCTTGCCCTATCTGCATACTTCTATATGGTAATGAAGATTTTTTGGATGCATGCTTTTATGCGACAACCCGACAAGTGCTCATTACTGCCAAACAGAAATGATGTTTTATCCTGTTCGTTCTGTTGTTCCTAGCATAAGAGACTTTAGTAACTTCTATGTATTATTGGAGTAATGCTGACCTTAATCCTCAACCTGTAATATGAAGTGGTATGTCTTTAAGCCTCTACATGACAGAGGGCATACAACAATAACCAAGCCTTATTCCCCTAGGGCATAGAAAAAAACAGAATTCTGGGACTGAAGCCTCAACTTGTAAATAATTAGATTTTATTTTATGTGCTCGTATTTGTTTGTTCTCTATGCACCCCAAGTGTTTTCCCTAATGTTTATTGTTGTAGAAGTTTATGTAGTGGAACCATGATGATAGCATTCCAGCAAAAAAAAATTTCTTAAATTGTTTTGAATTATTAAATTGTACGGAGTATTATAAAAAGTGTGTTTCAACAAAGTGCAATTTGCACTTCTAATTATTAGAGAAGGATATGGAATTGTGATGATTTGGGTTCAGTCTTTGTAATCTATTCTATTCTCATGCTTTGTTGGATTGTTGAAACAGTAGTTCACTAGCTATTTTTGTAGTAGAATGATCATTTATGCTGATAATATATTTTTAGGCTATACAATTAGAAACCAATGTCCTCCTGGACAACCTTTCTCTTAACAACGTCCTACCCATTTAAATCCAGCACGTCTCTCTCAACATGTTCCACATTCATATATTCTTTCTTGTTTTTTTGAGCATGCTGTTTCTATCACTTAATGCAGCTGGTGCAATCGAATATTCCCAATCCAAGGCACATGTGTCTTAGACGAGAAAGAACTTCCATCGATAGTTTCCAAGCTTGTTAATGAGTTTATGATTGACAACCGAAACAAACTTGGCCAACCTGTTAAGGTAATGTAATTACTTCACTAATTTATGATGATAGTTCATCTGTTTAAACTCTGATCAAACCCAGCCGCTCACATGTCTCCCACTTGAAGCCCTACTTCCTGCTTGACTTGCATGTGTTAAGAGTGCCACCAGCGCACAGTCTATTGAATGCATAAAAAAACAATTAAAAATGTAAGAACTCAATAGTGTTAGTTAGAGTGATGCTAGGGGAAACTATGGGTTATCCCATGGTACACTATCACTATGAGATCATCATTTTCTCTTGCCCCATGACGTTAAATATTTGTTCATTTAAGGACATAGATGTAGTTTCATATGACACTGGTCTCATAAAGGTGCACTATGGGATCATTTAGTATTTTTCTTCAATTTATTACAAATTGGAAGTCAAACTATTACTGATTTTGCACGCCTGTATAAAGAAAGACCTGGAGGAGCAAAGACAGGATAGGAGACTGTTCTAGCATGCCAAGGCATGCGAGGAGAAAGGACGGGATCTAAGGCATGCACATTATGTGAAAAACGAAGATGGTAGGGTGTTGTTAAATGTGGTTGAGGTTAGAAACAGATGGAAGACATGTTTTCATGGGCTTTTAAATGTTGCCAGGGCTGAGGGCTTGCTTTTAGGCACACTAGGGCAGTCTGAGAGGCATCGAGAGTTTGGATATTGTGGGTGCATTTCCCAAGCTTAGGTGGTTAGGGCCATTCACAGAAGGAATGGGGCAAGATTAGATTCCGGTGGTGTTCTGGAAGCTTGCAGTGAACAATGGGTTGGCACGGCTCACTAACTAATTTAATGTTATTTACAAGAAGGCGACGATGCCTAGTGAATGGGGAGAGAGAGTGCTTGTCTTATTGTACAATAGCAAAAGGGATATCCTGAAGTGCGAGAATTATAGAGGGATCAAACTTTTTAGTCACATTATGAAGGTTTAGGTACTGATCATCAAAGCTAGGTAGAAGCAGGCAGCTATTTCAAAGAATATGTTTGGCTTCATGCCTGGCCGATCTGCTACAATCCTGAGTTTGATGGATAACTGATAAAAAGAGATACCTAAGCATGGTGTTCATTGACTTCGAGAAGACCTACGATAGGGTGCTGAGGGAGATCTCTTAGAGATGCCTAGAGTTTAGAGGGGTACTGATTGCTTAAATCCGTGCAATCCAAGACACGTTGGAGCTAGATTGAGAGTGAAGGCTGCCTAGGGTGACTCCCATAGTTATGAAAGGCGAGTGGCGAGTGGCGGGCGAGAGGACCTTTTCTATGGCGAGAGGCGTGGCGTATGGCGGGCGGTCAAATGGCGAACAAAAAAAGCGCGCACACACACACACACACACACATATATATAAACTTTCAGCTTTGTATTTTTTTGTTCACATTTTTTTATTTTCAATATTCCAAATCTTTTTTTTTGGAATTCTTATTGCATAAATAAATTTTTGAAGTCATTTCATATAATATATTCAATTATTAATGGAATTGTTTATTTTAGAATAAGTAAGAGAACTATTATTCTAAAAAAAATTATTTCATTAATATAATTGAATATATTGTATGAAATGAATTTAAATTTTACTTATGTAATTAGGATTTCACAAAAAAAAGATTTGGAATATTGAAAATAAAAAAATGTAAACAAATAAATATAAATAAAAATACAAAACTGAAAGTTTAATAAAAATCATAAGCGAAACCTTACCATCGCTGCACAGGGGAAGCTTAAAGCACTGGGTAGGGATTTCTTTTTAAGATTTAAATGAAATATGGGCCTGGTTGGGTTGGATCGGGTCGGGTAGGTTTAGGACTGCAAGTTGCGATTAGAACCCGGAAAAAGAAGAGAAAAGCTAATGGATAACCGACGAACCGGAAAGACCAGGTGGAAACAATAAAATAAAATAGGCCGCGATCAAAACGTCATGACATGCGATTGCCTTGCGCCATAGCTTTCATCGGAAATGGCGACCGCCATGGCGCGCCTCAAGCACATCGCCTTGCTTGACCTAATTCAGGCGCTGGAGGGTCGCCACAACGCCATAACCGCCATAGGCGACCATGGCGCTCGCCTTTCATAACTATGGTGACTCCTTTGCGGTGGAGATGGGGTTACACCAGGGGTCTAGCCTAAGTCTTTTTCTGTTGGTGATGTATATTCTCCCGCAGGATATCCAAGTGGAGGTGCCTTGGTGCATCTTTTTGTAGTTATTGTGCTGATTGATGAAACATGAGAGGACTCAATAAGAAGCTGAAATTATGGCGTCAGTCCTCAGAATCCTTTTGTCTGAGTAAGAAAAAGACTGTATGTGGAATGCTCCCTCAGTTGTGAGGCGAATGAGTCAGAAGTAGGAAGTTAGGATTGGTTCTTACCCAGTGCCAAAAGGGACATATTTAGGTACCTTGAGTCGATGATCCCGGCAAATGACGAGTTAGGAGTGTTGTTCATCGTATCAGAGCCGCCTTGTCAAAGTGGAAGCTAGCCTCAGGTGTCCTTTATGACAAGAAAATATTCACGAACATGAAAGTTTTATTGGGCAATGCTCAGGCCGGCTATGTTATATGGAGCAGAATGCTGAGCAGTGAAGAAAGCTCACGTCCATCAGCAGAGATAAGGATGCTAGGGCGGATGTGTGGGCATGCACAAATGGATAAAATTCAAAATGAGGTTATTCGGGGAAGGGTGGGAGTGGCTTCTATTGCGGAGAAGTTGCGGGTAGCTAGACTTCGGTGGTGTGGTCATGTTCGGAAGAGGGGTGTTGAAGCCCGTGTTAGGAGGTGGTAGACGCTTATTGTAGCAGGGGTTAGTCGGGGTAGAGGTAGACCTATGAAGAGTTGGGGGAGGTGATAAGGCAGGATATACGATTCCTCAATCTGACCAAGGATATGACCTAGAGATCCAAGATTACTGTAGTTGGGTAGATCCGGTAGCCTTCGTTCATACTTTTGGCCGGTGTGTATTTTTTAACCTTTGTGCCTATGTGCTTTGGTTTTTGCAAATTTTTAGTTTTCACTTATGTGTTTCTCCCCTCTTTATTGTTAGTTCTTTGTTAGTGTATTGTAATTTGTTTGCCAATGCTGTTTTTTGAGCAATGTGTCTCTTGGAAACAAACTCCCTACTTTCTAGTAGGGGCAAGGTTTGCCTAAACTTAGGGCTTGGTCTCTTCACCTGACCGGATTGGTTCTGATATGATTGGAATACGTTCTGATCTGATTAGATTGTAGTTGTATTTAAAGCTGTTTTCGATCTAATCTAGTTGATATAATTTAATTTGAATAAGAATAAGTAATACTCCCTCCGTCCACAATTAAACTTTACACTTTCCTTTTTCGTCCGTCCACAAATAAACTTTACATTTCCTTTTTAGGAAAGTTTTTAGGAAGGAAATGTCCATCCTACCCTTGTCCCATCTTTTTCCTCTTCCTTCTTCCTTCCTTTCTTCGTCCGTTTCTTTTTTCTTTCTTCATCTTTTTCTTTCTTCCTCTTCCTTCTTTCTTCTTCCGTGCTTTTTCTTTCTTCATCTCTCTTTCTTTTTCTTCTTTCTCTTTCTTATCCCTCTTTCTTCTTCTTCGGTCCTTTGATGGTTTCTTCTTCAATTTTTTCTTTCTTCTTCCTTCTTCTTCATTTTTTCTGTTTTTCTTCCTTCTTTTTCTTTCTTCTCCCGTCAACCAGATCTAACAGATTGAATCTTCTTCATCTTCTTCCATCTATGACGACGAGATCTGACCAGATCTAGAAAGGAGATCTGACCAGATCTAGAAAAGAGATCTGGTCAACAGGCAGCAGCGGCGGGGGGCTTTTGACGGCAAGGAGGTAGCGGCGGCGGGGGCTTTTGACGGCGAGGGGGCAGCAGCGGCAGGGGCTTTCGACGGCGAGGGGCACCGCCGGCGGTGGGGTGCTAGTTCGATGGCGAGGGGGCAGCGGCGGTAGGGGCACCGCCGATGGTGGGGTGCTAGATGTCAGTGGGGGAGGGCTAAAAGCTTGAGGGGTATAATAGGAAAGTCAACCCAATTTTCATTCCACATATTTTGGACGGAGGGAGTAAGTAATAAGAAAAAGTTGAAGAGAACAAACTCTTACGCTCTCGAGACCTTACTTGTGGGATTTTACTGGGTTGTTGTTGTTGTAGGCAGTTACTAAGGAAAACCAAAATTCTAAAACTATTTAAAAGGGGAACTACAAATAGAGGTGGCAATCGGATCAACCGGATCGGTTTCGGGTTGGATTTTTTCGGTTCGGATATCTTTTGGTTATATGTTATAATCGGTTCGGTTTGGATTGATTAAATTTCGGTTCGGATTTGATTCGGTTGGATACATTTTTCGGTTCGGTTCGGTTTCGAATCGGTTCAGATACGGTGCGGTTATAAATTGGTTCGGATAGATTTCGGTTCGAATACAATTTGAGTCGGATATATTTCGGTTTCGGGTCTAGTTCGGTTCGGATATATTTCGGTTTCGGATCAAATATATTTTGGATATATATTATTTTCTAATTGAAATTTAACTATCCATATTTTTTTTATGTTTTGTCTTATTTATCTATCATCAATTCAATACCTCATATTATTTTATATATTTTTCTAATTATATTATCTCTTACCTAAATAATCTTCCCTTTTTGACTTTTTAGTCATATTTTACAAATTTGGACTATAAATTGTGAACACATATATATATTTAATTATGATATAAATTTAATATAATTAAATTGATTTTAAAATTTAGTTTTGAAATATCAAACTTTTCTCACAACTACTAATATACTTATGTTTATAAATGAAAAGATAAGAGATAAATTCAATTGAGTGTAAAATTTATAAATTATTGAGTGTATTTTGTTGAAAATAGATTAAATTAAATTTAATAGAGTCAAATATAATTAATTTTACACTTAAATGTAATGGTGTAGATCAAATTTGGAAATGATAACACTAAATGTCTCACTAGAGAGCCTTTTCAAAATGCTAACACTAGCATCTAATTTTATTGACTAATATTGAGTGAATTGGTTTGAAACTAATCAAATTAACTCTCAAATCAATAAAATTTATTATAATGGGATGAAATCAGGATAAAATCTAGTTATTCTATACAATTCATCATATAATCCTTTCGTCTCAAAAAGAATATCATACTTCACTATTTAAAAATTACGGAAATTTTATTTGTTTGTGCGTTATCATTTATATGTATAACTTATCTTTAATTTCTACATATAATAAATTTAAAGCATGAAATTTTGTACTTTTTTTCAAGAAGATAATCCATTTTATGAGGGAATGAGCAAGTAATGTAATTAGTTCAAATGGTAAAATAAAAGTAAAATTTTAAAAATATAATATGCTTATTGAAAGGAAAACATAGTTCCAAATTTATCGATGTAGGTTCTAATCGGTTTCGGATATAATCGGTTTCGGATCTAATCCCTTTCGGGTTTTATCAGTTTCGGGTATTATCGGTTTCGAATCTAATCGGTTTCGGGTTTAATCAGTTCGGATATTATCGGTTTCGGGTCTAATCGGGTTCGGATTTAAATCGGATATGAATTATTTAGTTCGGTTTCGGTTCGATTCGGATCATTTCGGGTTTTCGGTTATAGATCGGATCTTCATTTTTCGGGTTTGGTTCGGGTAATCGGTTCCGGTTCTGTTTTGCCAGGTCTAACTACAAACCAACCACATAGACATAATTCTTAAAAGGGAACTACATGCTAATCTTATGTACAAATAATGTTTCAAAGATACTCCATGTTTCTTAGTCTTACATTTTTAGATGTTCTTTTTAAAGATCAATCTGAGGGGGGTATAATGTAACTCGTGCCGCAGCCGCAGTAGCCCTGGAGGATTAACCTTCACCATCCTGTTTACTATGTGGATAGAATATCGCCACAAAACCACTTGCTGGAAACCTTTTGCCCTGGCCAATTTTAAGTCTCTTAAAACTGCTCATCACTCTGCATCTACATTCGGACCCTCAAACCTTCAAGACACGCCCGCCATCCAATTTCATATTTCATCTCGAATGCCCCCACATCCCACAATCCATAAATACCCTGATATTTTATACTCCCTCCGTCCGTCATAGATCTTCTCAAATGCCCATTTTATTTGTTTGCGAAAGATCTTTTCATTACCTTTTTTAACATTTAAACTACCACAACTACCCCCACTTCTTTTATTTATTACACCTCACGCACCTCATGTAGGCAAAATCTTCCGTGGTCCTTAGGTCCACACTTATTTTATGGACCTTAGTATAAAAATGTCTTTGATGAATTGGGCTCTTTGAAAAAATTAAAAAACTTCACTTCAGCCCATCAAAAATATGAGAAGGTCCACATTTCACATGTGGACCTTAGGATTATGGAAGCCTAACTCTCTCATTTAACATACTCCACCTGCTTTCATTAAAGGTATTTTAGTAAGCTTCCACCTTTTTTAAGCTCTCCTTAAAAACCACAAAAAGTCAACTTGAGAATAATAGAAGATATATGACGGACGGAGGTAGTAGTTTCCATTAAAGCAATCATATACTCCCTATTTCCCATTGATTTCTTTACTGTGTGGTTCACAATGTTTGACTGATGTTATTTTCAACTTATTTAATTTAAATATTGGTTTTAAATGATCTTTTATGTATTTTAAAACTACATCAAAAGGTCTTCAAAAGAAGAAGTGACATGACTATATTATTTTATCAAATGATAGATGAAAATATGTAAAAAAGAGGATAGTTTGACCGCATGAATAGCAATGGTAACTAATCCACCAGGACAGAGGGAGTATATTTATTAAAGTATCACCCACACTTATAATGGTTCACTCTAGGGAAGGAGACATGACTCACAAATCTTACCGGCCTATAAGGTCCACCTAGGTTTTTAGGTTTAGCAAAAGCATAATTTGTTTTTTTGGTTACTTTGTGCTTTTAAATATTATTATAAAAGTTTAAATTTGAAAGGCTGATGATTATGAGCATAATACAAATTTAATTACTCTCTCCGTCCCCTATAGATCTTCCCAATAGCTCTTTTTCTTTGTCCACAATAGATATTCTCATTTCACTTTTTAACAATTAAAATACCACAACTATCTCCACTTTATTTATTACACCTCACCCACCTCATTTAATACACTCCACCCATTTTCATTAAGGGTATTATGGTAAACTTTCACCTTTTTTCAAGTCTCCTTAAAAACTACCAAAAGTCAAAATGAGAACATCTTAGGGGGACGGAGGGAGTATTACTTAATTATACTCCCTCCGCCCCCTAAAGAGCTTCATTATTTGACTTTTTTGGTCAAAATTTGAATAGTTTGACTACAAGTCATGAAAAACTATATTTAGTTATAATGTAAATTTAATATGGTTTTGTTCATTTAAAGATGTAGTTTTAATATATCAAATATGCCTAGCATTTTTTTATTTAATATTATATTTGTTAATGCCCAAAGTGTGTTCCCAGTTGACCTAAAAAGTCAAATTATGAAGTTTTTTACGGAACAGAGGGAGCATCAAACCACATTGCTTTAAATTGCATACATTAAACCATCCAAACTCAATAACCACCAAACTTGTAAAAACCAAATTGTAGTGGTTTGCAGTTTCGTTGGAAGTTACCTGAACTGCTAAACATAGTGTTAACATATGTCGATTTGGTGGAAATTGTTTTTCTAGATAGGTAAATGTCGAAGGTCAATATCGATCCTTTAAAACAAATTGAAGATTATACTTTTTTTTGGTAACAAATTATAACTGTCATTTCAAGTAAAGTTATACTTGACATAATATTTTTTGTTTATTTCTATAATAATGCGAGTTCCTTGGCTTCTTCACTGCTCCCAACCTCTCTTTTGCTTCATGTTCATCAAGTGTTCATATGAAAAATGTTTTTGTAGTTTGCAGTTGGATATAACAAAAGGGGCATTGAAGAGTGTGAGATGAAAAATACAAAAGGAAACAACAACGATAATAGTTCTGCTTTGATGCACCGCAATACATGCTTTAGTGTTGTTGCAGCGATAGTGAAAGATATTGTCCCCAATTCAGTTGTAGATCTGAAGCACCCAGAGGTGAAATTCCCTCCTGTTTATTGAGAACTGCAATGGTTTTGCTTGTTTGCGGCTTCTCATGCGTTTTGAACACATTGATGCTTTTGCAGTTTGCTGTTCTTATTGAGTTACTACCAATATCTGGGATTCCCGGTGGGTTATCAGTGGGCGGTGTATCTGTTCTTCCAAAGGAACTGTTTCGTACAAAACCGCGGCTGACCGTCAAGTCTTTGGTCGTTGATACAAAGGCAAAGGACGGGAAAACAAGCGAATAAGGTCATGTTTTTCAATTGTTCTATGAAAATTTGTCCATCTTGTGTTGAAGGCGTACTTTTTGGTTCAATGTAATCTGGTCCGGTTGATAATTAATTATCTTATTTACAAAAAATAATTGGACTGCTTTTAAGGCTCTACAATACCGATGTGACAAAGTCTGATTAAGCACCCATTCCACATAACTTATTTTATCAGCTTATTACTTATTAAAATTAGATCAGACCAATTTACATCAAATCCAATTAGATCACACCAGATCAAAAACAACTTTAAAATATATATATATATGTGTGTGTGTGTGTGTGTGTGTGTCTATATATATATATATATATACATACATACATACATACATATATATATATATATATATATATATATATATATATATATATATATATATATATATATATATATATATATATATATATATATATATATATATATAGGGGCCGGTTCCCGTGAGAATGCACCTTGTGGAGAGAAATGAGAATAAAATCTAGCCGTCGGATCTGATGCATCGTGCGGCTCAGATTGCATCCTGCGCTCAGATTTTGAGATAGTGCATTTTCAAAAGTTTATGATGCATTTCAACGTGATGCATTTTCGCACCATTTTGGTGCATCTAATTTTGATGAAATCTTGACCGTTAGATCTCACAATCTAAAGCACCAGATTCATTCTCATTTCTCTCCTAAGATTGCATTCTCACCAG